CCTTCTTTGCAAATACTGTACTTTAGAATCCTTGGGGTGGGAGGAATACAGTTTATTAAGTTCATATGTGCTCAGTGACAGAAAATACTTTTTTTTACTTTTGTTGCTGCCCTGAAACAAATAACTTTGTTTACATGCAAACTAATGAAGTGTTGTTTGAAGTATGCTTATCACACCTCAACTAATCATATCCGGTAACACAACCAGTCAGACTGAAGCCCCAAAACAAAGGAGATACATGAGCCTATTCGTTAACTGTAGCAGCCTCACTACATTAAAACATGCGGGGAGAGATGTGCATGTAAGCACAGTATGCTTGCAGATCTCTTCCTGCATTGGATTACATGCAGTAACAGAGAATTTGTCTCCTTTGAACTTGGACCATGGGTGAAGAACTGTTTGAAACACATGACGCGATTTCCTCCCACCTACAACGTCAGTAGCGCTCTTGTTTTGATTGCATATCTGTTGACTGATGACTCACAAGCTTCCTGCCAGTGACCTCATTGTCCTACTGAAACCTCTGTGGCGATCGGATTAGGTTCAGGTGTGCGATGGAAAGCTGAAGCGTCTCTCTTGGGCACTCAGTACTTTAAATTTGCTCATGAATTTTTTTTTTTTAACATGAGGTCACTGGCAGTTGTGTAGGACAAACAAATCCTGGCAGGGTTCTTGCTCGTGTAAGTGAGGATTCAGAGGTCTCTCTCCCACTTTTTGTACTATCTTCTGTATGCTACTATCACAATGGTGTAAAAATAATGTAAAATGTTTATTGGATAATAGTTTTGGATTTGTTACTGTTTATATTTGCAGGATGTGGATGTATTTTCTTCATGTATTTTGTTTGTAAAAAATGGATTTCTAATTTACTAGCATGTTTGCTTTTGCCAATAAAGATGGAGGAATGGGGCGCTTGGAAGATGATCAAAAAAAAAAGAAAAAGATGAAAAGAAAAAGAATACAATTTGAATTGGATTTGGGAAAAGAAAAAAAAGAACTTTTTGAGATAAAAAGAAGAGAATTGACCAAAAAAACGAGTCAATATTGGCAAGGGAAAAAAATGCAAGCAAAAGCATTCCAGAAAATATTACTTTGAACTCTTGTGTGGTCTCCTTCATTTTGCATGTTATCTGATAGTTACTACATTAGTTTCCTGACATGAAGTAATTATGCATTACTAACTAAGCAGAAGCCTGAGACAAGGTGTCCATATGACTAAAAATAATGGCCTTCACAGACACCTTGGAGTTCATTATTGCACGTAGACCTTGGCCACTTAGCACAGACAAAAGTAATCTGTACTCAGATTGTATGAGTTACAAAGTAACTGTCGGTCAAAACCACAACTAGGTCAGGTTCACCTGTGAGGCTCGGCAAATCGCTGAAAGTATCAAGTGTACCAGTGTTACTGGACCAGTTGTGCCCAAATTTAAAGGCAGTAAATGGTGACCTGAACTTTTTTTGATTTACTTTGATGTTTCTTGATGGTTTTAATGAATTTTTTTGCAACCAATATGAATCATGGCCAGTGGTGCTCCTAAGGGGTGGCCAGCGGGTCCATAGCCACCCTGAAACAGCTACAAAAATAGTGGTAACTTATGAAACTAGACAGCTTAAAGCAGTGGTTCCAAAGTGATGAGTCATGGTCCAAAAGAGGGCTGCAGGTCCATTCTGAATGGACCGCAAGTGACTCACAAACATGTCAAGTTTGTAAAAAAAAAAACACTTTATTGTAAGTAGAGTGAAAGTCTGGCACAGAGCTTTTATTTTGAAGTGCCCTTTCCTGCTGTAGCGTGAGTGACTAACAGAAAACTACTTAAAAAAGACAGCAAACTTACTCAACAACATGGCTAAATGCAAGTATGACGCTGAATGTATGAAACTGTGTGGACCTTGAACTAATGACTAAGGGGAAATCAGGTTAGGAACCACTGGCCTGAGGCATCCATTGATACCAACCATGTCATGCTAACTTGTTGGGAAGGAGCGCCAAACTTGGGCTAAATTTTAGAGAGGGAAAAACTGGCATGGTCACTTTTAGAAGGGTACCTAAATTCACTTATGGTGTTTGGTTTTTGGTGTGACACCCCTGGATTTTCATCAGCCCAATTAGGCCACCCCTAGGAAAAACATTCTGGGGGCACCACTGGCCCATGGCATGCTGAAATGTACCCCAACAATCAACCCAGGGCTCCAAAAATTCCTCAAAACACAATTATTGCAGCAGGTTTTGGAATCTTAGTAAGTCTATGTTGGGGAAGTTTTTAAAGCACATGTCATGGGGCAAATCTAACTAGATAGTCAACATAGTTTAATAGCCTTCACTGTGTCTGTCTTACTAAAGAGAATAAACCAATCAAACAAATCCCACCACGTCACAGCACAGCCCGTGACCTCTGACGCTCAGTTTAATTACAGCAGCCAACGACATATTAAAATATCCATGAATAATGTACGAGCGTTTCTGACTTTAGGAAGTCAAGTGAAAACACTCAGAGTCTGTTTAGTTTAATTCAGGAGCTTGTGGCTCTCCCCAGAGGAAGGGATTTCAAACTGGGGTCTGAACAGCACACTGATACTAGATCTGCAGCAGGGTGGTGACCGGGAGGGGACAGAACCAGCACTGGTATAACTGGGCTCTGTGAAGGCCACTTTTCCGAGTACAATTTGATATAGGTCTAGATACAGAAATACATTTTTTGTTTTGTTTTGTTCTGATTTATTCTTGTATTTTATTGTATCTTATTTATTTTTATCTTCTTTTATTGCATGTGCCTGGAAAGAAATACAAGACATTAATGTTTAAATGTTAATATTTGATGTTAAAATTAGTAAAACAGACCCATACTTCCAATTATTATGTTGATATAATCTGCTGAATTGTAGCTATCTGAAGTTTGTAGTGAAACACCACAGCGGGTACATGACTGCATGCTGTGACAGTAGTCAGGTCATCTGGGGGGAGTGTATATGCAGGCCAGATGGGGGTGGGGGGGGGGGGGGGGGGGGGGGGGGGGGGGGGGGGGGGGGGGCAGGTTGCAAAGAGAAGAGATGCTGTCACATTTGGCCACAATATGACAACGCTTTTCATAAAACATGTCAGATGTAATTTTCAGTATATGAAAAAGCACGGAGGTGACAGGGTTGTAAACAATGGCCACTGAATTATGGATGGCCCCAGCTATATAACAGCTATTAAGGGGAGAGAAAAGAGAAAGGGTGACATGAGGGTGAGAAAAGGGACTTCAGGCTTTACTCAGACTAACATATTATAAGCTACATTCACTGGGATCCATACCCATAGATCTTTTTTTTTAATATGACACTAACATTTTCTTTCTCTGTCTCCTTTTTTTAATTTAAATTTTACATATTATGAAATTAATATCTATTAATACTCTATGGTTAGAAGAATAAGAAGAAGAAGAAACAGGACCTATAAATGCATTGAATGGAGAGATGTCAGAGTGAGGGGCCTGCCTTGGACAGGTGTCCCGAGCAGTTGGGAGTTCAGAGCCTTGCTCAAGGGCACCTTGGCAGTGCCCAGGAGACAAACTGGCTCCTGTCCAGCTACCAGTCCATGCTCCATATTTGGTCTGGACAGGGAACAACGACCCTCTGGTTCCCTATGGACTGAGCTACATATACACATGAGGTATACATCATTTTACTAAAACCATGAGTGCCAAAGAATAATTCATTCAGATTTACCGGCCTGGTAACAAGACAGACAGGAAAAAAGGTGGTGACTCCCTACTTCTGAAGCAGTCATAGAGTCAAATGATGAGTCCATTCCTCAATTACCCTGTAAGGTATTCATATTCCTTTAAGGGTCCTGACATCAAAAGAATCAATCATATCATAAATATTAGCCTAATTCAAGATGAAATGAGAGACATTGATTTGTTATCTGAAGCCTAATTTTTATACAAGTAACATTCATACTGGTGTAAATAAATAATTTGATTGTATTTCCCCATGTTTACTGAGCAACAGTTTTGTGTGAAAGGAATTAAAGGCCTGTCTCATATAGACGCCTGTCCCAAGTGATTTAAGCAGATAATAGCCTGGGCTATTAATTTAAGTTTTACTATATATATATATATATATATATATATATATATATATGCACATATCAGAGTCATATGTCTTTTCTCTCCTCATGCAAGTAGGCAGCCCACTAGTGTTTGGCTCCCCAGCCTGCAACAGGTTTGCATGGTGAGAAAAGACCTCGGCTGTTTTAATCTGTGTAATGAATAAGAACATGCCAACGTGGTAATGGATGCCTGCCACCGTGCAGCTAAATTATTCAGAGTCTGGGGAACCAGAGAGGCGGCCAGCAGGATCGGATGGACCCGCTGTGTCATCGGTCCGCCTGTGCCCGCCTGGCTCCTCTTTCTGGCCCGTCCACCCCGGCTTCATGAGTGTAGAGCAGGCGGCCACATGAGAAGGCTGTGAAGCGGCCTGCACATGGGCGTTGGAGAGCAGAGCAGGCCAGGGCCCTCGGGTCAACTGGTCAGCAGCCTGCAGCAGGCCTTAGATACAGTTTGAAGCATGTAGTTTACATTTTGTTGAATTCGTGTAGGAGATGGGGAAACCTGTGAGCGCCGCGGACAGCTCTGGAGCCACCTGCACTAACCTCTGCGGTGCTGCGCTGTCCGTGGTGCTGACATGTTGGCCCACTGTAACGGGTGAATCCATGGATTATTATTGCCTGTAAAATGTGCCAAAATGTCACATGAAGTCATAATAATGATCTAGTCACTGAACAATTTGTTATTACAATATCATTAGTGATTTTGGTTGGGTTCATTTGACGCTTGCGCACAGGGGCCAACATTTTGCAACTTGTAAGTTGAGCAGAGGAGCAGGTGGGAGGGAAGGAGGAGGAGGGAGGCTGAAAGGAGAGGAGGGGGACGGTGGGTGGGGAGGAAGAGGGAGAGAGGGATGCCGGGAGGCGCTGCCGATGTGAACAGCTCAGTCTGGTGAAGGAGAGCGAGAGGAGCTCTGTAGCTGTCCGCTCCCCGGCTTTCATGTCAGGGGCCACACTGCTTGCGAGGTGCTTGCAGGGAGGAGGATGATGACCATGAACGGCAAGCAGCATTTCTCCATGCACCCGGCTCTGCACGAGCCCAAGTATCCCGGCCTGCACTCAGGCTCGGAGGGCATGCGCAGAGTCTGTCTGCCCGCCCCGCAGGTACGTTCAGGTCGAGGGAGAATGGCTGTGGAGTATACTGGGTGAGAGGAGGGGAGAAAAGATCACACTGAAAATGTCTGTAAAGTTGATTTGACAGGACTTTGTTCTATCCGCTATCTCTCTCTCTCTCTCCCTCCTCTGTCTGTGTCCCCCCCTCTCCCCCTCCCAACCCCCCTCCTCCCCCCACTCATCCACATGTCTTTTCAAGCAACGCTCTTGCTTTCATATTAATTTTTATGACCTGCGCTTTGAGGAGGGTTTTCTCCTCTCCTCAGCGCTGCTTGCCTTTGGAAAATGTTTTTTAGATCCTGAGAGCTGCCTGACAGAATTCCCCACTGACTCCAGTATGCGCACTCTTGCTTGCAGCTGCAGGGCAATATATTCGGAGGCTTTGATGAGAGCCTGCTGGCACGGGCAGAGGCTCTGGCGGCTGCTGACAGCATTGTCTCTCACGGCAAGAGTCACCCGTTCAAACCAGACGTGACTTACCATACCATGAGCAGTGTCCCCTGCACCTCAGCCACCTCTTCTTCCTCCACCACCGTGCCCATCTCCCACGTCCCTTCCACCATCGCCTCCCACCACCATCACCACCACCTGGGACAGACCCTGGAGGCCGGGGACCTCCTGGACCACCTCTCCACCAGCCTGGCCGTGACCGGGATGGGTGCTCCGGAGCCTCCCGGGATGACCACGTCGGCGCACCACCACCAGCACCCTCACCACCACCTGCAGACCATGGGGCAGCTGCACCAGGCGATGGCCAACATGGCCCACCCTCACTCTCTGTCAGTGCACGGCGGCATGGCGTGCGTCAACGACGTGGAGTCGGATCCCAGGGAGCTGGAAGCCTTCGCCGAGCGCTTCAAGCAGAGGAGGATCAAACTCGGAGTGACCCAGGCGGACGTCGGGTCGGCGCTGGCCAACCTCAAGATCCCCGGAGTGGGGTCTTTGAGCCAGAGCACCATCTGCAGGTTCGAGTCCCTCACCTTGTCCCACAACAACATGATAGCGCTCAAGCCGGTTCTCCAGGCCTGGCTGGAGGAAGCAGAGGCTGCGTACCGGGAGAAAAGCAGCAAGCCGGACCTTTTCAACGGGAACGAGAGGAAAAGAAAGCGCACCTCCATCGCCGCGCCGGAGAAGCGCTCTTTGGAGGCGTACTTTGCCATCCAGCCTCGGCCCTCCTCGGAAAAAATTGCGGCCATCGCCGAAAAACTGGACCTGAAAAAGAACGTGGTTCGAGTGTGGTTTTGCAACCAGCGGCAAAAACAGAAACGAATGAAATACTCTGCGGTGCACTGAGTTTCACACATCATGAATAAAATAGCCTACTACATTTTTGATCGAGTGATTAATAATAGCCTAAGTAGCCTAACTAACAGGGATTTATCAACAGCTCCTCACTCATCTGGGATTATCTCCAAAAAGACTTCAAGTTTTTTTTTCCAGTTCGTGTCACTCACTCTTTGTTGTTGCACTTTTTTGGATTTTGTTATATGGGACTCGTAGATGATTGTGATGTGTGAGGAAGAGGAGGAGGAGGAGGGTGTTTATGATGTTGTTGATCATGTATCTTGCACACTAAGTATGAACTTTCAGCAAATCCACCCTGACAGTTTGTCACATTCAGGGATATTAAGTCACTTTTATTTTTTAACCATGGAGTTTAGAGGCTGCGTTTATGGGCTGTTTAATTATCAGCAGTGTTAAAGTGATGCTGTGTGAAGAATTTAAAAAAGAAAGATCATGGATTTTTTATTTGTAATGTTGGTTGAGTTTATCCTCCACTTCACTGGCTCACATGTGCAGATGTACACCATCATATCCTGATCTGTGTTCTCACTTATTTTTGTAATAATCCAGACTAATGTGAGTTCAGTGATGAGGAGTCCAATGATTCACCTTTTAAACCACCATTTATTTTATTTTATTTTTTGCTGCTCTCTTCGTGAACTGTTTGATAGTCATTTACGCACAAATATGAATAATTCCAGTAAGACTTTCACAAGGTATGACACACTGAGTCTGTTTTTATTCAGTTATTTAGAAATGGAAATGACACCGTCATATTATGAGGCACATCCGTGTGGCTTTGGCTGCTGCTATATTTTAGTATTTTGATGTGAACATGTTTTGGAGCATTACAGGTGAGCTATATATTTATTATGTAGCCCAGATATATATACAGTATCACCTAATTTAAGTATTTATTTTTCCTCACTCTTGATTTCACTTGGAAAAAATGTGTGAAGTTTAAACTTAATAAATTATTGGTTATTTTCTAAAAAAAAATCTCTTATTTTTGTGCTTTATTTAGTTGTATTATTTTAATTTCGAGGCCTTTAAATGCGGCAAATAAAATGTAAAATATAGACTTAAAAAAAAGGTTATGAACTGTCTTTAAATCCTGAGCTGCACCAATGGGCGATAAAATCTTTGTTTGTTTTATGGATACTCTCCCGCCTGTTTTATTTATGACTCCCCAACCCTCTACTGGGATTAAATATGTATTGTCGTACATGATATAAGCGCCGCAGAAAAATAAAAGGCCTCCATTTTCACAGTATTTTCACACCGCGGAGCGCAGAATGTGCGTCCGCCACACGCCGCTAATGGCCCCCTCGTCCTCCTCTGATTAGCGCGCGCTTTTAATTATGGATGTCCTCATGTCACCGGGTTATGTCGTGCATGGGGGTTTGAAATGATTAAGTAATGACGATGCAATATTAATTATATATTGGTATAAAACGAAGTAATGTGGAGGAGTTGGGAGTAGAAGTCTGACTGGGAACTCTGGGAACTCTAGGGAGAGACGAAGTGGACACACAACAGGTTACCCGAGGAGAGAAAATATGATTTTTTTTCCCCTCTCTCGTTTGACAAAGTAAGTATTTTCCCCTTTATTATGTTTATTAATTTTATTTTTTATTTCATTTTTTAAAATTTTAATTTTAAAGAACAGGGGCGCACTTAAACGGACGTCTGTTTTATTATTATTTTAATATAGGCCAACAATGTTATAATTAGTATAAATAATATTATTACCGTTGAAAATAAGTCTTCATTTAATGCATTTTTTCGCGTATTTAATAAGTCCACTTTACTTCTTTAATATTGTTAATACTTTTACGCACAATTCCTGATTTAGTCTCTGCGCACTTTGCGCAAATCACTTTTGCGGTCACTCTCTCCTCACATTAACCAAATATTTCTGAAACAATAATAAAATTAATAATAAAAGGCCTAATAAAAAGCTCCCACCGGAATCCTGTCCAAGCCAACATGACCTGCGGTTGTGTAATTTTCCCAGAGAGACTGTCGGCGGGTTGTTTCCGCCAGAGGATCAATAATTCGCAATTACGCGGAAACGTTTGTGGCTCTTATTAATATTCTCTTTGATGCTGAGGGTGATTAATCACAGTCTGTAATTCACGGTGTTAAATATGACTTTTAAAAATTCATTTATTTTTTTGGGCCTCCTTCTCAGCCCTGTCACATATTTATTTGGACATGTATTGCATGTTTCAGCCGGTGTGTCGTGATTAAAAAATATGATCAAACCCTCCAACAATGACAACTATTATTAAACCCGTAAACGCCCCACAGCTCTGCGTGTTTTCTGACGTAAATGTTCAGGTTAAAAAGGGGGAGCTTCGGCCGTGTGAATAATTGATCTTTGTAATACCCGTATTGATATCATAACGCACTCGCTTTGTGGTAAGTTGAGCTGAAGGCTTGCGAGTTAGCGGCATGTGGCGACTGAGGGCACCTGAATTATTCAGCAGCAGCTGAAAGGTATATTGCATTTTCTCATGCAATAATGGAGGTGTGTTGGGGCCAATTTGGAGATAATGTTTAATATGAAAACTCGTTTGGAATCAAGGTGGATTTAAAACAACTATGAATAAGCTGACTTAATAGAGTTCAGGCTGGTGTTTGAGGCTGAGTGGAAATTAAAACAAAGATAAACAAACAAAAAGAATAAGAGGGAGAGCATGAGAGACAGAGAGGATGTGTGTGTGTGTGTGTGTGTGTGTGTGTGTGTGAGAGAGAGAGAGAGAGAGAGAGAGAGAGAGAGAGAGAGAGAGAAACAATGTGTTTGCTTAAGATGTTTTCATGCAGGAAAGACCCCTTTTGACAGAATGAGGATGAAAGCTCTGCTTAATTGCTGAAGAATGCATACATATACACTCACTTTAACACACACCATACAGTTTGGCTGTCATCCTTGGGAACAGTTTGAGGGAATGCGAGGGGGGGGGGGGGGGGGGGGGGGGGGGGGGGGGGGGAGCCAAGACACCCCAAACTCAATAATTCATACAGTGCCAGCAGCAACAAATGAGAATGTGGCCAGAGCGCAGGGAGACAGCTACCTCTGCGCTCTCTATTAGTCACCTTCTATTATCATCAGAAGCCCAGCCAGCTCGGGACCAACCTGCTGAAGTCTACACGCATACCTGTACACACACACACACACACACACACACACACACACGCACGGTGAGATTGTGTTACTCTCTGGAAACTTGAGGCCAAGGTGATGGGTGTCTTTTAAAAAGGTAAAGCAGGAGATCTTGTCCAGCTGCAGCTCCTGTTTCTTTCTCTACACTTTGGTGTGTCAGTGCACATTTTTTTGTGTGTGTGTTTCTATTAAGATAATGACAAATATTGTGGATATAGATATAAGTGGTGGAAAAAATATCTCACAGGTATCGTAATTCTATACTTCTCTATTTATCTGCTGTACAAAATTTTAGGGGGACACTGCTATTTCTACATGTTCCTCTGCCAATTAAGATCTTGAAAAACTGTCTGTACCCTTAGTGTAAATTGTGCTGATAAATACTATTTTTCAAAAGCTTTATTACTAATTTGAATGCAGAACTTTTACTTGTAATAGAGTATTTTCACAGTGTGGCATTACTACCATCTTCTTCTTATCCCATTGATGGATACACGATCCAACGCACAGTAGTGCTACATAGTGGTGAAACAATTAGTTGATTAATCAAAGCGACAATTGACATAAAATAAATTGATCAACAGTTTATAATGTCATTTTTTAAATTCCAAGCATCTGCAGTGTAATAACGTAATGCTTTTCTCTGTGTTACATCATTTTAAGTGGAATATTTTGAAGTTTGGACAATTTTAGGACATCACTTTGGTCTGATTGCACAGCCTAAATCAACTGATTGAATATTTAATCAACAGATAAAGGAAGAGAAATGAAACCAGTGCCACAACTAAAATGAAAATGCTTACTGAGTATTTTCTATAATAAAAATAATTTGGGGACTTTTCCTCACCTCCTTCTGAGCTAAGTGGATTTGATGCAAAGCCTCGGCCCATGTCGCTTCTACTTAACATTTGATCAAATAAACCAAATCAATGATTAATGTGTTAAAAAAACACACATTTAATTAATGAAAAACAACACTCACTCTACATTAATTTAAAATTGCACTGAGCACAGCTCTGCAGAGAGAGAGAGAGAGAGAGAACTTCTGTGACGGAGGAACACTTACAGTCTCATGGTCTGTGTGTGAGGTCAAGCTGTCTGCTAACGAACACACCATGCATTATGCAGAGACTATTGAGATGTGCACACACACCTGGAGACATGTTCTTCTAGCCATGATAAGGAATGAGATAGACACAACTGTGTGATATATATTTCAGTTATATTAATAAAATTCTGTCGTTTTATTTTCTTCACTGCTCAAGTGTGTATTTTTGTTCTTATTCCAAAAATACAAAATCAGAGAGTGGAATTGAAAGGATAAAAGGAGGTGCTCTATATTAGAGACACTCACAGAAACTCACTTAAGTGACTGTGTCACTTATAGGCACTTGCTTAATTCATTCAGCGGGCCTGAAGAACAGTATTATACACCTTATTCATTATTCAAGTCCTCTCCATTATCAAAGTGCCCAGAGAAATAAGATTAACCCAGCCAGAAATAACTCACTGTGGCGTGATTTTTTTTCTACAAAGCACTTAGCTGGTCGGGTGCAGGTCTGCACACAAACTTAGATTAGAGTATCTGAACATATAATCACCACACAGTCTGCTGAACATAATAATCCTAGTGTAGAGAGACGGAGGAAGAAGGAAGAGAGGAGAGGAAAAGGGAAGGATTGTTAGAGAGAGGCATGAGTTGAAGAACAGTAGGGGAAAGGAGATGGCATAAAAATATAAAAGACAAAGAGGGACACAATGGAGAAAGGAAGGGCAGAAGGGAGGAAGAAAGGAAATAAAATGGGAAGGAAGTAAGAGAACATGGATGGAAGTAGGAAAGGAAAGATGAGGATGGGTAAAAGAAAGAGAAGCAAGAGAGGAATGACATGTGAATGGAGATAAGACAAGAAAGAAAGAAAAAGACTAAATCCCTAACGGTCGACATGTCTGTCATCCTGACTGTCTGGATTTAGTTCTCCTTATTTCCAACTTGATCATGTCAAGGCGAGTGCGTCCCTGCCGGCCCGGACGGTCTGACACTAAACTTCTGTGACAGCAGGAGCACCCAGAGGAGCCGCAGCCAAGAGGAGAGGAGGTATGAGGAGGCTACGCCCCCCCTGCACAGGAGGGACATCACCCAATCTAAAGTCATATCCATTTACACAGCTTGTTAATTAGCTCTTAACTCTTCCTGTAGGTTCATTCTGAATTTGTGCACAAGAGAAACTGAATATAAATACCAGATAATGCAGTTTTACTCTTGGCTGCAATCATGTATAAAAGCGATGGAATCTCATTTGTGTTAAATAAACATGCTGAAAGATGCTTCTTCTTCTTTTGTTTCATTTACAAAAAAAAGTAGGTGCAACCTTGGTGTGCTGCTGCCACCCTCTGTTAAACGTCTGCTGCACCAGAAGAAAAATATAAAATTCTTTAAAAGATAGTGGCAGAGGAAACATTTTATTTTGTTAAACTAAAAAATAAATATGATAATAAGTGGGAAGAACCTATATGTAACAGAAGAATTACAGGCTTTTTTTTGTTAAAAAATCTTGCTAGGCCCTCCTCAGAATATCAAAACTACACCAAATCATGCAAACAGTATATTCTGTATCTTGTTTACCAACATGACAAGCTCAAAATGTACCCAAGTGTGTATTCTCTTTGGTAACATTAGACCAAGACTCACTTTACTTGCCGCTAATAAAGTAAATATGTCAAAAAAAAAAAAAAAATGAAAAAAAATAAA